GAAAACAAGAAATCATTCCCCCCCCCCCAGGGGAATGACCACATCACAATCCCTTCTCTTCCATTCTCGTTTTGGGATTTTGTGCACATGTGCCCAACGTGAATTTTAAACCACCACCATGCCACCTTCTGGTCCCTAAATGTGCACAATTTTTTGAGCCAGTTATTCTAAGAATTTAGCCTAATAAGGGTGAATTTGCTCAAAAATTTCTATGCTCATCAGGGAATTTTCAAAATAGGAAAAGAAAGCAGGGTCCAACAGGTGGCATATTGGGGCACTGGACTCCCACATGCCAAACTGCAGTTCGAGTCCTGGACCTGGTGGCTTGCTTTCTCAATTTTAAGCCATGGTCAACTCTGCGGGACTCATAAGTGACATAACCATTATGCCATCTGCTGGTCCCAAACTTCTTTTTAAAAGACAATTTATTATTATTATGCTGAAGAAAATTTAAAGCAGTATATTTTTCTACACTGTCAGGATCCTAGGACAAATATATTTACATTTCCCTATGTTCTCTTCATCTGTATGCTGCACATATATATCTTTGTTTGCTGCTTTAAAATTTAATTTTGGCAGTATTTTCCATGAAAGCTCTGAAATTTCCTCTTTTTTTCCCTAAAGAATTATGCATTTATTTAATTCCATTTGTGGTTGTTGTTCTATTATTATTTAATTTGACCAGAGAGAGAGAGAGAAGGGAAAGCAAGAAAGCAAGCCCCCAGGTCCAGGACTCAAACCGTGGTCAGCCATGTGGGATTCCGGCACCTTTAACCATCATGCCACCTGCTGGCCCCATGAAGTTTCCTCTTTATTATTGATCCTTTATGATAGAAAGTTGACAGCACATACGTGTGCCCAGTAGAGAGAAAAAGCAAGCGCTTTGACAGGGTCTTGTCATGCAGTGATCACCTTCGCCCAGCACTTGAGCTCCTGAGATCCTGGGTGCCCAGCATGGTCACCAAACCTATGGTCACCATATGACTTCCAACTACTACACCACAGTAGTCAGACCCCTTTCTTATTTTTAAAGGCTACTATTTATTCCATCGAATTTTTAAAAATTATTGAATTTTATTTGTTATTATTTTCTTAAATTTTGCTATAGGACACATGCGCTCACCAGAAAGAGACAGAGCGAGAGAGGGAACGAGCAAAAACAAGCTGCCAGGTCCAGAGCCAGGTCCAGAATTTGAACTGTAGTTGACCATGTGGGAATCTAGTGCCTTGATCACTATGCCACCTGCTGGCCCCCAATTTTTTTTTTAAGAGAAGTTTTTGCTATAGGGTATGTGTGCCCACGGGAGACACAGAGAGAGAGAAAATAAGAAGCCACTTCCTAGAGGGAATGGCCATACCACAGTCCCTTCTCATTCTCCTTGGGATTTTGGGCACATATGCATACGCAACCTGGCATGAGTTTCAAGCTGGTAGGTCCTGGACTTGAACTACAATCGACCATGTGGGAGTCCAGTGCCTTAACCACTAGGATACCTACTGGCCCCCTATTCCATTGAATTTTGATGCATTATAATTTAGGTTTTCCTCATGGAAGGACCTTATGGTTGCTTCTAGATTCTGCTGTTTAAACAGTGCTACAGTGATTATCTCTACATACATTTTTTTTCCTATTTTCATTGTGCCATTTCCTTAGGATTCTCATAGTAGGGTTATTGAGTCAAGAATCTTGATAAAAATTGAGGATCTCTGGCTGGCTTTGTGGAGTGGTGGTAACGGTAGCCAAAACCATGTAGCCAACCATGTTCTAGTCCTGGACCCAGTAGCTTGAGAATCATGCCCAAAAATCCCACAAAGGAAGGAGAGATGGAGATGGGATTGCAGCATGACCATTTCCCATGGGAGGTGCTTTCTCCTCTCTCTTTCTCACCAGAGAGAGTCACAGAGAGAGTCATGTCCTCTAGCAATAAGAAGAAAGAAAGGGAACCAGCAGTTAGCGTAATGGCTATGTCGCTGGACTCCCACGTAGTCGACTGCGGTTCGCGTCCTGGACCCGGTGGCTTAAAACTCACGCCGGGCGCGTGTGCGTGCGTGCCCAAGATCCCGAGAGGAGAATGGAGGAGAAGGGATTGCGGCGTGACCATCCCCCCTGGGGGGTGATTTCTCACTTTCTGTCTCTATGTCTTTCTCTGTCTGTCTGGCGAGCGCACGCGCCCTATAGTGAAAACCTCCCCCCCCCAAAAGAAAAAAAAGAAGAAAGAAAGAAATTAAGGGTCTCTTCTCCAGATTACTCTTAATAATAGTCAAACAAGCCAAATGATATATAGTAATTGAATGTTTTAAAAAATAATGAAAATAAAAAGTAATAATTAAAAAATAATAACAGTAAACACTTGCTGAATATTTGTTAAAAGGAAAGAATTGTATATTAAGACTTTTCTATGTATGATCTTATTTAAGGCTCACATCAGCCCATTTTTTTTTCCTTTTTTTAAAGAGAGATGTTTGCTATAGGGCGCATGAACTTGCCAAAGACACTGAGAGAAACAGAGAGACTGAAAATGAGAATTCCCTCTCAGGGAGGATGGTCACGCTGCAGTCTCTTTTCCTCCATTCTCCTCTTGGGATCTTGGGCACGCATGCACATGCACCCAGCATGAATTTTAAGCTACTGGCTCTGGGACCCAAGCCACCTAACCAGCGACCTAACCATTACACCATCTGCTGGTCCCCACATCAGCCCACTTCACAGAATAGGAAAATGAGATTCAGAGAGGTGAAGTGACACAGGGCCACACAGACAAAGCTAAAACTCAGATCTGACTGGTATCGAAGTCCCTGCTCTTGACCACCAGGCAACACCATTTTAACCTTTCTAGGCGGTGTGACCCAGGAAGCGTTAGCTCATTGCTAGTGTAAACACAGGAATCAGAGAACCCAGGAAGCTAAAGGCCCTGGCCTTTATGACTGCAGTGCCCACCTCTAGCATTTATAAGCACCTGTAGCTGCTAGTGGTGGTTTTTGCAAACTCTGCCCCAGAAATATATAGCCACCAAATGTGAGGACCTGTGGGATCATGTGGATGTTGCTGGAAGAGAAGCAGGAAACTCATTCCTCAGGATTGCACTGAATGGAGCCATGGTTCCTGATGAAACAATTGCACCTTCCTGGATAAGGCAGCCTCGGTCCCAGGAGCCCATAGACTCAACCATGCTGGGTCTGAGTGGGAGGCATTTCTGCACTGAGGAGATGGAAACCAGTTGTTTTCTTTCCCTGTAGGTTTGTCCTCTTATTAAATCAGCTGTTAGGCTTTAAAGGCAGTGCTACCCAGCCGGAAGTTTGGAGGTGGACGCCAGGCTGCTCAGTGTGGATCAGGGAATAACCCCTTTTGTGACTGTGGAAGACTCACAGATGAAAGCTAGTCAGCTCTTTGTGAAAAGCAGTTGGCCTAGTTTTGTTTTTCTTATTATTTTTTTAAATGATTTGTTCTAAAGATTTTGCTAGGGATAATAGGGGAAAACATTTTTTAAGGTGTGCACAGCATTTATGATCATGGGTTTTCAGATGAGTTTGACTTCATTTTTAAGTGAGCTTCGACCTCTACCCTTTACCCCTTGGTCAAGTTATTTCACCTCTCCAAGCCTGTTTGGCCATCTGTAAAATGTGGATGATGGGTCCCACTGCAGTGGCACAGGTGGCAGGGAGCTACTGCACGATGGCCGGGGCTGCTCCACAGGAGGCCCGTGTTCAGTTCCTGGCTCAATCTAAACAGGCCAGGTGTGTGGGTGGGATACCACAGTGTAGCAAGACCCTGTCAGGAATTTCCTTTCTGTGTATGCGTTCTCTCTCTCTCTCTCTCCCCATTTCCCTCATTTAAAAAAAAAAAAAAGTGAATGAAAATAATGTAAGAATCAAACACATTCGTGTATCCCAGTGCTTAGCCTGGCACAGAATTCATACTCAGAAAACTAGAGTTACTTTTTCACGATATTACTGTTCCTACTGAATCTTCTCATGTGAAAGATGAACATGCACAGGGTGGAGAAAGCTGAGGATTATATACCAGAGTGTTGCTGGTGGGCATCTCGGAGAGTAGAGGGAGTGACTGTGAAATGGGAGGTGAACAGGAGGCCTCTGGCTTTCTTAGTCATTCTTGTAATATGTACATTTCTTATAGCAAGCATAAATTATTTTTATAATCAAAAAAGTGTTTTACATTTGTAAAAATTGATTTCACAATATTAAAATAAGTGTTTAAGGGAAAATACCCATATCATGTCCACAGACCTCCGTATGTTCACATACTTGTGAACACGGTGTTCCAATTATTTTGCCTGGTGAATTGGTCACAGGAGTTTTTCTGTATTACCACATAAGTCAGCATAATGAAACTTTTGAGAGCCCGTATCAAGATGATGACTATGGGGCCACAGGTGGCATGATGATTGAGGTGCTGGACTCCTGTATGGCCAACTGCGGTTCGAGTCCCAGACCTGGTAGCATGCTTTCTCACTTTATCTTGCTCTCTCTGGTGAGCATGCATGCCCTGTAGCAAATTTAAAAAATAATAATGATAAATTAAATAAATAATAATTTTTTAAAAGATTGTAATTATGACTTCTATTGTTGACTAATTAGGGTTCTAAGTTTTTTGCTATTATAGATAATATGTAGCTTGTTTTGATTTTCCCTTGTAATTGGGCATGGGGGTGATTGTCAATTTTGCTATTATAAAGCATGTGGAAAATTGTACTGGCTAATGGAGGACTCTGGAAAAGAGCCTCAAGCCCTCAGAACATCACTTTGCATCAACTGAGTATTTCACATTGGGTCAGAGCCAACCCACATTAGCCTATTCACAGCTCTTGAACTGAATGTAATGCTAGAAGGGTACAGGGACCACCAGATTCTTCTGATTTGGGGTCTAGCTGCAAAGGAAAGCCATTCCCTCCCTGTTGGGAACAGGTGGCAGAGAGCAGGGTAGGGTGCCACATGAAGACACGGTCAGGTGTGTCATGTTTGGTTGCATTTCCTCCACACAGGGATTTCAAGGATTTGGATTTGGAGATGGTGGCTTCCAGATGTCTTTCGGAATTGGGGCATTTCCCTTTGGGATATTTGCCACAGCATTTAACATAAACGATGGGCGGCCTCCTCCAGGTAAGACCCTATTTCCCTGAGAGATCGGGACGATATCTCAGTCATCTACTTGAAAGTTCCTTGGAATTCTGCAGTATGTAAATTGAGACCATTGTCACTGCATGAATAGCCAGCCTTTTTGAAATGCCTTAAACTTGTTCCAGATTACGGATAGTCACGCTGATACTGAGCACTTACCAAATGTCAGGCACATGTAGAGCACTTTAAATTCGAAACTTGGGGGTTTTTGATTCCAAACTTTGATTAGCTCAGCTTCACAGATCAGAAAATGCTTAGAGGTGTTTACCAAGGCATGCCCCATGTCTATAAAATGAAAAAGCGTAAATGATGTCCAGCTGAGGAAAAGTCTAGTTGTGTGCATGGATCCTCACTTGGACTATTTGGGAGCAGAGAGGGACATGGTGACCCCCAGGGAGTCAGGGCCTCTCCATTCTCTGTCATCTCTGTCCAGCTTCCCTCAGGATACAACATGGAGCTTGTCCCAAGCTTCAGCCCTCTGGGAACCATGCCTAGGTCTGTCACCTGCTGCTGTTTCTCCTTCTCTCTGCTGGAGAGTGCCAGCTGCATTTGGTGTAAAGCAGGGCAGGAAAGCAGGTGTCCTGTACTCTGTCACAGTCTGACACCCGAGCCACAGTCCTTACTGTGGACCCTACAGAGACGCCCCGGTCAGTGCACTGGAGCCTCTGTGCACTGGACGTGGTATGGGTCCAGAAGTGATCCGTGAATGATCTGGCCAGGAGTTTATGCTCTAGAGACAGAAACCCACTCCTGGGTCATCCCAGTCATTCCCCAGTTTTCCTGGTCCTTGGCACCTGGCAGACAATTGGTAAGTCCTTCTTGATGCCTGCCTGCATGAATCTGTCAGAGTACCCCCTGGGGAGTCAAGTATAGCTCCGGAGGTCTTGGGAATGCTCTTCCTTACAGTTTTTCCTTGTGTTCATCTTCTCAGAGGAAAGGGACCCCAAAGGTAAGGGCATGCTTTTTCCCAAAGGAAAGACAAATCCCTGTAGAGACAGGATGACATGTGGTAGTTTGCTTCCTTTTATCCTGGACCAAGGCGTGGCCTGGATTTCCTATTAAAGAGAGTTCCACAGCCAGGTCAGACTCTGGATCACTTCATCCCTCCACCAGATTCCCCTTGCCATGTTTGGTACAGTTTGCTCATCCTAGATGTAGATTGGCTTCCCTTCCTTTCTCTAAAGTCAGGACAGAGAACTGTAAATGGCAGCTTTTCTCAAAGCAGAGGGGAATGGGGACCTAGGTTCTCACTTCAGCTCTACCTCTACCTTTCTCCTTACAATGGAGAAAGACAAGTCACTTTGCCTGTCTAGGCCCCAGTTCTCTCCTGGCACAGGAGGGGCCCTCCATGCGGGGTGGGGGGCTCGGGAGACCAGTGTGAAGAGGCTGGAGATCATGACTGTGGTCCTCTGCCCCAACTCCTGAGCCTTGCAGTCTCGGGCAAGTCACTGCAGACCTGTGCTTCGGCAGCTTCTTACACAAGACAGAAATAATAATATCCACCAAATAACACTTAGCATATAACAGCTGCTTAATAAACAGTCATTTTTCTTTTACTGTTTTCTCTAAGAGCTTCCTGATTTATTTTCATGTGCAATCCAAACGCTTTAGGATACATGAGACCTTACCCTCTTTGTTATATTAATCCACATATTTTTATTTTGCCTGACATTATTTGGGGCTTGGAAATCTTTTTAGTGTGTAGGAATTTGTCTTTTTAAGAAGAGGAGGATTGACGCTCTCAGTGCCTGGCCCAGATGGGCACCGTGTACAGTGGCAGTGTTCTGACAGCCTCTCTACCCACTGTCTTTCCAGCTGTCCCTGGGACACCGCAGTACGTGGACGAGCAGTTTCTGTCACGCCTCTTCCTGTTTGTGGCCCTGGTGATCATGTTCTGGCTTCTGATTGCCTAATGCTGGGCTCCTGCCTGCATCTGTGGCAGGACCTATGGACTGGCAACGTGCCACCCTCACTCTTGGTGTTTGGCTTCCTGGCTAATCCTGACTCCTGGAATCAGTGGGGTCAGTAACACATCAAGGATTCTTGCTTCTCCATCAGAGCTTTGGAACTCAAGACCGGTTGGCAAGGTCTCCTGAGTGTCACCACTACTGTAAACACCCTACTGTAACCTCAGGCCTTGGCTTTGAGTCCCCTCTCATGGGTGACATCATGAAATCTGTTCCAGTCAGCTTGGCATGTCCTGACTCTGCACAGGGAAGAGGCAGGAAGAGAGAAGCTGTCCGAGTACAATTTCACCCGAGTTTAATATTACAAAAACAAAAGGACGATCCAAATGGTATTTATGGAAACTTGGTTTCATCTCTTTAAATACCCTTGATAAGTGGCCTCCAAAGCCAGTGGGGTTCCTCATACAGAGGGACTCTCCTTACAGATCCCAATGCTGCTCTGTCCTTTTTCCTCCCCCTCCTCTTCCTCAGCAGAAATTCAAGAAATTACTGTCCCATAAAGATCATAATTGCAGCCGCTGAAGCTGGAGTTGCTTTATGAATTCACCAGAGACCCAAAGATCTCTTACTGGCTCTGGGGCCATGCCCAGTGTCTTTGGCACCAGAGAGCAGCTTGAATGGACCTCCTGGTTTCCTGCCATGGATTATCCCTGGTGAGACATGGCTTCACACACAGATTTCCCATCAGCTTTCTCCCAAAATAACAAACATCTGCCTCTGTCTTCCAGAGCACAAACAGCCTAGACTACTGCTTAGGTGGGACTGACTGCTATGTATCAGGAAAGACCTGGAGTCGGGACAATGGGATTCATAGCTCTGATGCAGGAACAGCCAACCAAACCACCCTCTCCCCTAAGCTGCAGAAGCTGCAAGTACATCCTGTCCCAGAACCCACTCAGATGAAACAGCCTAGCTGCATGTTAAAGTCCAGCATCCTCAGAAGCCAAGTTGTCTTTCACAAAGAGACAGGGAAGGGGGAAAACCCACATGTGACCCTGGTGGCTCGATGGAGTCCTTCTGAAAACTCTTTGTATATGTGACTCCTGAGTAGGCAACCCCCAACGATTTATAACTCCAGATGGCAGATGGGGAGCCTCAGCACAGCGATATAGAATCTTTCCTGTGGAATCCAGGGAAAATTACCTTCCTAAGCTCTTGACTTGTTTTTATATCATAAGCTGCTTCTTCCAAATCCAATTAAAGAAGTGTGGTGCCAGGCAGACAGGACCATTCACCGGTGAAATGGGTCTTCCTCACCAACTCTTGTCGTAGAAATCCAGCCTCTCCCTGGAGACCCCAAGGGTGGGGGTGATGGACTTCATCGGGCCTCTCCCTTCACCAGTCTACCCTGCTTCTAGCTCACCTCCAGCAACAGCCAACAGATGATGGGAAGGCCACCCAGCTTTTTACCCCAGATATGGCTCTCCATAGTTTATGGAAACCCGCACCTTGAGGAAGATGAAGGAAGCCCTCCTCCCTGTTCCACAGCCCCTCCCCTTCTCCTTTGCACCTGTCAATGCCAGAGTTCAGTGTTTAAACAGACGAAACATAAAGTATTGAGTAGGTGATTCATTTGAATCCACTTAGGGATAAACTACCAGACTTACAGTGGGCCTGATGGATCTTAATTCATGGGCACCCACTTAAAGAGTGCTCTTTTTATCACCTTCTGGAAATCCCCAAAATTGGAGGAGCCTCTGGAGTTTCTCTGCTTTAGGGAGAATTGGTGGAATGCAATGTCCCCAGCTAGTGGAGGGAGAGAGGACTTCAACTAGATGGACCCAACAGAAAGAATTGTGTTTCCAGAAGAAAGATTAAAGAAGATTTATAGGTAGGAAGATGAATCATTTGAACTCTTAAATGAAGTGAGCCCAAGAGTTTCACAGCAAACAAATCTTGGGAACTGCTAGCAAAGCCAGGTTGTTCATGTGCCCTTTAATTTTTGAACCTTGGTAGGTCCCTGCTCACTCTCTGCCAAGAGCTGGGCAGGGGAGCCTATTTGGGATTACTGGCCCAGCTCCAACAGGGAGCCCCCTTCCCCCCCACCCCTCTGCAGGTTCACTGCTTCACGTCTCTGCCGAGGCAGCTTTCCTTTCTTTTGTGTGTATTTTCTGTGTTCCCAGCCTCCACCCTCTCCTGCCACCCTTGTGAACTAGGACCAGGTCCTGACCACAGTCAGAAGATGACAGTATGTACAGTGGCACACCTTGACCAGTCACTAATTTTCACTGTTGTGAAAGTGATTTGATTTAGAATTAAATAAATGGTTTTACATTACTGTGAGCTTGGTTCTTGTTTGGGTCCTGGAAGGGATGGTGAATGGATAAGGAAGTCATACAGGTCTGTTCTTGGGGAAGCACCTGTGCGTCGTTGGTAATGCCACACTGAGCATGAAAGTTGTCAAACAGCCATCTGTAATTAGAGATGAGAAGTGTAGGCTGGAGGCCTGGCTTTGTATGTGGCTCTGCACAAGGTGTAACCTGTCCGACAGGCAGCCCCAGTCTGGACAAGTGCATGGAATTTCTTTTCTTTTTCTTTTTTTGGAGAGGTGTTTGCTATAGGGTGCATGTGCTCGCCAGAAAGACAGAGACAGAGACAGAAAGCGAGAAATCACCCCCTGGGGGGATGGCCACGCCGCAATTCCTTCTCCATTCTCCTCTCGGGATCTTGGGCATGCACGCACATGCGCCTGGCGTGAGTTTAAGCCACTGGGTCCAGGACTCGAATCATGGTCAACTACGTGGGAGTCCAGCGACATAGCCATTATGCCAACTGCTGGTCCCAAATGTAAGGAATTTCTAACCTTGTGAGCATTAAGGTGCTAAGATGGAGCTTGGTGTGTGGCCAGTCAGATCCTTTAGGCCCATTAGTTATCCATTGTCAGCCTCTCCATATGTTCAGTGACAGGCCAGGTAGGTCCTTGATCAGTTGCTCTCCCTCCGGCAAGGGGGAGTGTCCTTCCCTGAGGTTCCTCAGTAATGTGGTGTAAGACAAAATGGAAGATGCTGGTAACTAGCCTTGGGCTCCCCAACATACCACAGCAACAGGTCATCCGTCTGAAAAGAGCTCTTTTCTTCCTCTCACTAACAGCAAACTGAGCAGTGCCAAGACACAGGAGTGTAAAGGTAAGAGGACTTGAGTAACTCAAGCTCAATCAAAAAGAACATGTTGTTTTGTTTTCAGTAGAAACATAAAACTTACACAGTAGAAGAGGACAATAAAGCCTCCATGTACCGGTCACCCAACCCCAATAACCTGGCCCAAGTTCAGTCCTGTTGCATCCACACCACCCTCACACCACTCCCTCTTCCCCTACCTGGACTATTCTGAAGCAGTTCCCACTCATACACCATCTGTTAAGTATTTCGATATGCGTCCCCATGATGAGGATTCTTAAAAAACAAAATACTATTTGTGTACCTTAACAATGAATCATTTTGGGGCCAGCAGGTGTCATGATGGTTGAGGCGCTGGACTCCCACATGGCGAACCAGTTCAAATCTTGAACCAGGTGGCTTGCTGTCTTGCTTTCTGTCTCTCTGGTCAAATTAAAAAATAATAAATTACTTTAAAGAATTATTTAACTTTATTTAACTTATTTATGTATTTATTTTAATTTGACCAGAGAGGGAGAGAGCGAGAGAGGAAAAGTGAGAAAGCAAGCCACTAGATCTGGGACCCGAACCACGGTCAGCCATATGGGAATTCAGCTCCCCCAACCACCATGCCATCTGCTGTCCCCAAATAATAATAAATGTTTTAAAATTTAAAAGATTAGTATTTCTGTATGAGGTCCAAGCCCCTGTAGTTAAAGGAGCTGGATCCCATATGGCCGACATCAGTTCAAGTCCCAGGCCTGAGGTGGCTTAAAAAACAGGCTGGGTGCATATGCATGCATGCCCAAAATTCCAACAGGATGGAGAAATGCAGTATGACTATACCCTAAAGGGGGGGGGGGGGGGCGGAGCTTTCTTGGTCTCTAATATTCGCTCTCTGGCAAGTACATACACCCTGTGGCAAATTTTAAAAACTAAATGATCCAACTACTGTTCAAATTTCTCTAGTTCTAATTTTCTCTCTTTTCTTTTGGAGAGTTTTTGTTATAGGGCACGTGTGCTCGCCAGGCAGAGAGAGGCAGAAAGACAGAAAGTGAGAAATCACCCCCCAGAGGGGATGACCATACCGCAATCCCTTCTCCTCCATTCTCCTCTCGGGATCTTGGGCACGCACGCACACGCGCCTGGCGTGAGTTTTAAGCCACCTGGTACAGGACGCGAATGTAGCCATTACGCTAACTACTGGTCCCCTCTAGTTCTAATTTTCTTGTATAGTTTGTTTGAATTCAGAGCCAAGTCATCCACACTTTTTTTTTTTTAAAGATTTTTTGCGATAGGGTGCTTATGCATACCAGAGATAAAGTGTGAAAACACCACCCAGAGGGGATGGCTACACTGCAATCCCTTCTCCTCCATTCTCCTCTTAGGCTTTGGGTACACATGCACATGTGCCTGTTGTGTCTTTTAAGACACTGGGTCCAGGACCTGAACCGGAAGTTGGCCATGTGGGATCCAACACCCTAATCATCATGCCACCTGCTGGCCCTTGTCTTTTTTTTTTTTTTTTTACTATAGGGCACGGGCACTTAATGGGAAGTGGGAAGAAGGCTGTGGGTGGGGGAGTTTGAAGAAGCCACCCCCCAGGGGGATGGCCACACCATGTCATTCTCCATTCTCCTCTTGGGATTTTGGGCACATATGCTCAAAATGTTTTCCTTTTTCTTTTTTTAAAATTTTATTTAGAGAAAGCAAGAAATCACCCCTCAGGGGGATGACAACAACTCATCCCTTCTCTTCCATTCTCCTCTTGGGATTTTGGGCATGCATGCACACACACCTGGTGTGAGTTGAAGCCTCTGGGTCCGGGACTTAAACCATGATCGACTACGTGCAACATAACCATTATGCCATCTCCTGGTTCCCCAGCACGTTTTTCTTTTTTCTTTTAAAGAATGATTTATTTATTTATTTTTATTATTATTTTCATTTGACCAGAGAGAGACAGAGAAGGAAAGTGAGAAAGCAAGCTGCCAGATCTGGTTACTCTAATGCCGTTGGCCATGTGGGAACCTAGCACCTAAACCACCAGCCACATTTCAACTTACCTTTCTCATAGTATCTTAACTTCCCTGGAGGAACTTCCCACTCCCTGCAGGTAAAGATCATGAGCTGGAGGCAGAAAGAAGCGGAACATGAGAGTGAATAGGGGGAAGAGACAGAACTAGGTTCCTTGCTGTGAGCGTAGGGAGAGGAAAGACACCCATGGAGCCTCAGTTCCAAGGCTGCCCATGCTTTGGTATCTGGGAAAATAGTGAAACCTCTTTCTATATACAAGATAAATACAGTCCCTGTCTCCTTTTTTGCTAGCCACGAGGTGGCTTGTCAGAAGAATCCCCTGGATTCCCATTACTTTACTTCAATACACAATCTTGTGTTTATTATAATCAGATTTCCTCAGAAACTGTGAAACTGGCTGCTGGAGAATGTTCTCAGAAGTAACGGAAGTCAGGCACAGCCCTCCTCCCCAGCACTTTGTGCACACGCAGGACATCAGGAACCATCTGCCACACCCAGAAGAGAAAAATCTGACTGGAATCCGGTTTAAACTAGACAGGACAAGAAGAATGAGAATTGTAAGCACCTTCACTTACTGGAGTGCTGGGACCAGAGGCAGCTGGGGAGAACTTTGTCCTTGGTGGGAAGGGCCAGGATTCCTGGCCCTTCCTGGTCATTTGGACACTTTTCCCATGACCTAAATCTGATCTAGGAAAATGACAGTTGCCAAAGACCCAGCATGAGAGAATCAAGTGGGAGGGACTTCAGGGACCAGCTGATGTGGCTGACTATTCCTCACAGAGGACCACAATCTCCTCCCTAACCCAGTAAGGGGAAGTGCTTCTTAAAGCCACTCAGCCCGTTAGTAGTTGACGTAACTGTCTACTGTCTTAACTCTTCCTCTGGTATTTTCTCCTTCACATAGAAGATTCTAGATTGGCAGTCTGCAGGACAAACCGAGTCCTATGTGTGTTTCATTTGGCCTCAATGGCACTTTTTACATTTTTAAAATGTTACCAACATTTTAAAAAGTGGAAATTTCACCTAAATGTCTGAATTTTTTAAAAATTCATTTTGAAAAACTGGAAGACCTGGAAACTAGCAAGCCAGCATTCCAGAAGGGGATGGCTCCTCTTTCAATGAAGCATGTATGCTCCAGATCTTGGCTCAGTTATATGCCTAATTGGCTTCATTAAGGATCTGGCACTGGGGCTGGCAGGTGGTATGGTGGTTAAGGGCGCTGGATTCCCATATGGCTGACCGTGGTTCGAGTCCCAGACCTGGCAACTTGCTTTCTCACTTTCTCTGTCCCTCTCTGGTCAAATTAAAATAAAATAAATAAATAAATAAATAAAGTAAAAAAAAAAAAAAAAAAAAAAAAGTTAAATACAAAAATTCTTTAAAAAAAAAAAAAAAAGGGATCCGGCTCCTGCAATGTTGGTTGTGCCAGTACTATACCCTGAGGATTGACCTGAGGATTATCTACTGACTGTCACCTTACTTAGAGTAGCACGGATAAGTGGTTTCTCTGGGCTGAAAGCTTCTAAGAAAAGTTCATTCTCGGACTCCTCCCCTTTCCCCAAACTATTTATGGGGGTAGACCTGGCTTCTCCATATTCATGTTCTTTTTTATATACATAATTATTTTATTTAACTTTATTCATTTACTTATTTTAATTTGACCAGAGAGGGGCAGAGGGAGAGAGAGAGAGAGAAAGCAAGCCGCCGGGTCTGGGACTCTAACCGCAGTCCGCCATGTAGGAGTCCAGCGCCCTCAACCACCAAAACATCTGCCGGCCCCCATATTAATATTCTTGTTCACAGAAATCTTTCTGGAAATAACTTTTGGCTGGAGGCCAGAAGACCTGGGTTCTTGTGGGTCTTATTCCTTCTTCTAATGACCTGAGCCATTTCGAGGTATTGAACGCGTCCTGTCTGGTCCTCAGTTTTCCCCATCTGTAACATGAAGATCCCTGCGATGAACTATCCGACCTGCGAAGACTCAACCCTCGTCTTGCCGAGCACCCAGTAGAGGACGCCGCTAGCACTAGAGGGCGCCAGAACAGCCGAAGAGACCGCGCCCGGGGGCGGGGCCGAACCCCAGGGGGCGGGACCTGGCGGTTGTGGGCGGGGCCTGGCGGTAGTGGGGCGGGGCCTCGGCGGGCGGGC